GGGTTTTCTTGGCAGGTTTCTTCAGAAGGGGTTTGCCATTGCCATCCTTTGAAGCTGAGCGGGGATTCGAACTCTGTTCTCCAGAGACAGCACAGAATTCTAAATACCTCATAAAATATGGAATTCCCAGGATTCCATAGGATGGAACCATGGTAATTGAAGTGGTATCAAACTGCTGGAAATGTGTAGTGTGAAAGAGACCTATGTCTAGGATGTACAATCCCTCTACATAAAAGACACAAAACAGGAAAAAGGTCACAACAAAAATGTGACAGGGGCTCCCTGCCCAACCTTCAGGCAAGGAGAGCATGATCTCATCCCTGTTTCATTCCTCCTCTGTAGCTGAACAGAGATCTGCCATGTGGGTTTTCCAAGGTAGTTGTCCAGTCTTGTACAGGAATAAACTGACTGGCTGTTAAAACGTAAGAGCTAAATGACATACATCAGATCAAACCTTTTCTGACATTTTCGGTTCAAATGCTTGTATTTACAAAACTAACTATCCCTGGAGAGAATGTTCAGCTGGACAAAATCCTGAGATAGATGGTTCTCAAAAATGTGTTGCAAAAGCTGCTGCTGCTGCCATCTCAATGGTAAAATGGAAAGAAGAATGCAAAGACAACTCCAGGAGATGCAACCCTTTGCAGCTAAAAAAACGAAAAGTCATCCAAAGTACTGTCACTGAAGCTGGAAAGGGGGAAGCAACATTTATTATTCAATGGCATCTAGAAATTAATTCTTCCCGATTTCCATTTCTGCCCACAAAGAAAATATTTTAACTGCGAGTCTGGCTTGCTACTGAAACTGTATCTACTTTAAAATTTATAAATAAGATAGGTCTTCCTTCAAGATTAAGGTAGGTAACAGCAACTTCAAAAAGCAACACACACACACACACACACACACACACACACACACAATGTTTCAACTGAAGTCCTAAATGCAGCCGCCTTGAATACCGTTTTGAGAGAAAGGTGAGACATAAATCCAATTAATAAATAAAAATAAAAATTTCATCTAGCCTGCACAGCTTGTGACTGCATCCAACCATGTGCCTGACTTCCACCTGCTTTCTGATAAATAAATAATAATAATAATAATAAAATTTATTTATATCCCGCACCAATGGTACAATGATCCCCAAGGCTGGCAGTAAAAAGGGCCTTGGTGGATTAATATCAAAGGCTAACTGGGAGTCACAACTTTCAGAAGACATTTCGAGGCGGGAAATATAAATAAAACTATTTATTATTATTATTATTATTATTATTATTATTATTATTATTATTATATCTGTATGGGCTTGTGGAAATGGATAAGAGAAGTAGATCAAAGGGAATATTCCGTTTTCCCTCTGGTCTCTCTTCCTTATCCAGTTTGCTCAAACAAAACTGTGGCCATGTTCACATGAATAGTTATGCAGTCCCTAAAACTCTTGATGTGCTTTATCTCCTGCACTGTCCTGAATGTTGAAGGGAAAGAGGTTAAAATAAACCCTGAAACCTGAAGTCCTTTCTGTGGTTGACTCCATCTTCTCCAGAATGCCTCTGCTCACACAAAGACTGTCAGTGCTTCACCTGTACAAAGCAGAGTTGGTGAACTTTCTGGCACACAGTCATACGCACTCAATGAATATCCTCTCTAGCTGTCAGAAAACCGTGTGCTTGTGTGATTCCTGGGGATAGAGGGAGATAGAGGGAGAAGAAGGTGGTGGGGAGAATAATGTAGATTCATGCCATGGAAATGTGGCCAGAATAAGGCCTTTAAACTGAGGCAGTGTTTTTGAAACCCTAGATACTAATACCTAGCAGTCACTCATACAAAACCAAGCTCAAAACATATTGACTGTAACAAACATCAGAGCTAGTTGCTGTTGTTGTTGTTAACTGCCCTCAAGTCGATCCCAACTCATGGCGACTCTGTGGATGAGACATCACCAAGACTCTCTGTAAATTCATGTTCATGGCCTCCTTCATAGAGTCCATCCATCTGGCATTCCTCTCTTTCTACATCCCTCTGCCATTCCTAGCATTATTGTCTTTTCAAATGAGTCATTCTTTCTCAAGACGTCAGAGCTAGAGGCCATTGGGTATTGGGTATTCTGAGAGTTGTAGTGCAAGAAGTAACTTTTCTAGTGTCTGGGCTAGGTAGAAGACATTTACCTAAAGCAGTCACACAGCGGATAATTTGAAAAACCAAGAAGAGTCAGAAGACCTGGAGGGAGCACTCTAGTTTAGTGTTACTCAAAGTGATGGATCATGAACTGGTTCCAGTCCATGAGGTGTCAGTTGTTAGTCCCTGAAGAGTTTCTGGGAATGTGAAGTTGTAGGCTTTCATGGCCGGCATCCATAGTTTTTTGTGGGTTTTTCGGGCTGTGTGGCCATGTTCTAGAAGAGTTTCTTTCTGACGTTTCGTCAGAAAGAAAATCTTCTAGAACATGGCCACACAGCCCGAAAAACCCACAAAAAACTATAGTTTCTGGGAAAGTAAGAAACAATTGTAGTGAATAAGCTCAAATATAGTATCCCAAACTCTGACCAATGGAGGGAAATGTTGCCAGTTCTCCAGACCAGTGTGCTTAAAAATCATGACTCCAGTTGAACATGCCTGTTCAGAGTTGCCCAACTTCTCTTACAACTGTTCAGGAAACACTAAGACAGTGGAGTTCAAATGCACCTCAAGAGCAAACATTGTTATGTAAAAGTTATTTCTATAAGAATGACACAAGGAAGAGTGACATCCTACCCTAGTTCTATGCTTGTAACAGTGGACAAAGAATTGTGAAACAGCACCAGTTCCCTGGAGTCTATCAAAAAGATTGTCATATAAATGCAAACACTGAAATACTCTGGAGATTACAGAAAACCACAAATATGAAAGTCACATGTGTTGGCCTCTTAGCACACAAAGGAAGGCACATAGATTAGAAGAAAATGGGAGCAGGGGACCAAATTACAGCAGAAAACTTCACAGACCTGGAACACCTACTAAGGAAGATTAAAGAAGAAAGTGCAAAGGCAGGCATAAAGAAAACAAAAGTAATGACCACAGAGAACTTTCACACATTCAGACTAGACAATGAGGAAATAGAAATAGTAAAAGAGTTCTCATATCTGGGATCAAACATTGACTGGAATG